TGTTTTGTTTTAATCACTAGAGCCTAGAATACACAAAGAATGGTGAGAGATAATGCAGAAGACTATTGCAGGGTCAGCTCAGACTTGACCTACAGAACTGTGAGGTAATCAAATAAGTATTTGAAGCCACTAAGTTTATGTTAATTTGTTATGGCGGCAATAGAAAATGAACATAAACTGTGGTGCCTGAAGTGGTAGGCTGTTATAATCAAAACCTTAAAGTATGGAACAGCCTTGGAATCGAGCAGTGTGTGAAGGCTGGAAGAGTTTTGAGAAACACAATAGAAAAAGCAAGATTTCCTTGAACAGATTGTTGCTAGTAGAGATATGGACATGAAAGGTGCTACCAGTGAGGACTCAAGGAAATGAGGAATATGTTACTGGGAATAAAGAAAGCCTCACTTGAACTTCATCTGCAAGTGCAACATAATCTCTATCAAAATCCCAGCTAACCTCTTGGCAGAAATTGAGAAGCTGCTTCTAAAATTCACAGGGAAATTTGAGGGAACCTGAAAAACAAGATCAAACTTGGAGGGCTCAGCCTTTCCAATTTCAAAACTTATTTTAAAGCTATAGTAATCAAGACACTGCGGTACTCTTGTAAGATCTAGACCTAGATCAATGTAATAGAACTGAAAGGCCAAAAATAAACCCATACATCTATGGCCAGGTGATTTTTCGCAAGAGTGACAAAACAATACAATGGGGAAACAAACAATCATTTCAACAAATGAATAAATAAAATATGATATAACCTTACAAAGAAATATTACTTGGCAGCAAAAAGAAATTAAGTACTGATACATACTACAACAGGGGTGACCTTTGAAAACATTATGCTATGACGGGGGAGGGGCATCACAAAAGACCATGCATTGTATGATTCTGTTTATATGAAATGCCCAGAACTGGCAAACAGAGAGAGATGGAAAGCAGGTCAGTGGTTGCCTAGGCCTGGGGAGGTGGAAGACTTTGGGGTGATGACTAAGAGAAATGATGTTTCTTGTTTAGGTAACGAAAATATTTTAGAATTGACTGTGGTGATAGGTACACAAGACTATGAAAATACTAAATGCCATAGAACTGTATACTTTAAGTGAATAAATTGTATGGTGTATGAATTATATCTAAGTTTTTTTCTTAATAGAAGAAAACCACATCAAGGCACATCATAGTCAAATTGCTGGAAACCAGTAACAAAGAAAACTATTTCAAAAGCAGCTGGGGAGGGAGAGAGGACACAAAGAGAGTCAAGACAAACCACAAATTTGGAGTTAAGCTTATTATCCCACAATTATAAAAAACTGCTATCAATAAATGAGAAAATAGATAAATGATAGATAGATAGATGATAGAGATAGATAGATAGATAGATAGATAGATAGATAGATAGATAGATAGATAGGAGAAAGAGAGAGAGAGAAACAACCTGAAAGAAAACAGAGCAGAACATATAAATAGGCACTTCACTGAAATAGAAACCAAAATATGGTCAAGAAACAAATGAAAAGATGGTTGATTTCATCAGTAATCAGACAATGTAATTTTAAAATGTCAAATACCATTTCACTGTCCAAAATTAAAATGTCTGACAAGAGCATTTACACTTCTGATGGGAGAATCAAATAGCATAACCACTTTAACCACCAATTTTTAATTTTCAATTAATACAAAGGGGTATATACTAAATGTCCCAGAAATTCCATTCCTAGATCTGCATCCTAGAAAAATCTGGGTATGTGTATGCCAGGATCTATGTACAAGAATGTTCACAGCAAACCTGTTTATAATACCAAATGCTCACCAACAGAAAAATGAATAAATTGTGGCATAGAATGACATTCCTTTTTTTTTTTTTTTTTAGGATGATATTCTTTATGCCAATAAAAATGAATGCAATTATAGTTAGGCTCAAAGAAGCAAACCTCCAGATAATTTATATAATTCTACGTATAAAGTTCAACAATATGTAAAATTAAATATTCACAAATATGAGATAAATCTATGAAGAAAGTAAAGGAATGATGAATATTGAAATCCGCATATGATAACACTGGAAGGGAAATGAGGAGGGAAGGATTTAGGAAGGGACTCACAGGGAACTCCAAAGTTAATAGTAAATAATAGATACCTTGGTTTTCAGAGTACTGAGAATAAAAAATATTTTATCATTTTTGTATCTACTCAATATCTCATTAAAATTTTTCTAGCCCTAGCCAGTTTGGCTCAGTGGACAGAGCGTCAGCCTGTGGAGTGAAGGGTTCCGGGTTCCATTCTGTTCAAGAACATATGCCCGGGTTGCAGGCTCAACCCCCAGTAGGGGGCGTGCAAGAGGCAGCCAATCAATGATTCTCATCATTGTTTCTATTTCTCCCTTCCTCTCTGAAATCAATAAAAATATATTTTTAAAAAATTTTCTAAAAAGAAAACAAAAGGAAATGGAGGAAACCGTGAATAAGTTTTAAAACACTTGGGTAGGAGGAGAAGAGAGAATATAGTAGTTAGAAGGGGACCAGAGTCAAGAGAAGTTTTGGCTTCATTCTTTTCCAGAACAGGAAATGGTTCAGCAAAAATATGAGTTCAGGGGTGAAAAACAATAGAGATTTAGAGATTGGAGGTTAACAGTAGTAGTAAGAATGGTAGGAACTAACGTTCATTGAGAGCTTGTGCCAGATACTGTTCCAAGCCCTTCGCGTGCCTTACCTCATGGCATGCTCACAGCACTATAAGATAAGCTCTATTATTAATCCCATTTTTCAAAAGGCAAAACTGAAGCACAAAGCAGTTAAGCAACATGCCCACAGTCACACATTTAGAAAGTAGGAAACTATATTCCCACCTGGCAGGCCTGGCTCCATAGCCAGGATTTTTTTCCTCTGTGCAGCCAACCTCCGATTATGAGAGGAAGAATATAAGTGAGGGAACCAAGTCCTAGAGGAGAGAAGACAGATCCTGACTCAGACAGAGACATACCTCTGAGGCTGGAAAAGAGAAAGATGACTGGAAGGGGTGGGGAAGGGTGAATGGGAAGGAAGCAGCTTACAACTGACAGCTGCCATTTTGTTTCTGAATGAGGTAGGGAGTCAGGTTGTTTGCTGAGAGTAAGTGGGGTGCAGGCTGGGTGGAACTAAAAATATTTCTGTGCCTGGTGAGAGCTGAGTAGAACTGAGACCTATTAAAGAAAGAAGCAATTCACATTCTCTATGACACACTCTTCCAGGACATACACCCAATTGCATGAAATGCTAGGTACCTCTGGAAATCATTATTAGTTTGTTCTTTTCTTTCGCTTGACCTAGACTGAACTCAAATAAATGTGCTGGTAATGCAGTTCCATTGTAAGGTCTTTGATACCAGCAATCAGAGCTCCCTCAGCTTTCCTGCCCAGAGCCCTTGGCGAGGAACTTTTATCTTTTGTATGTTCTCCTATCCTCTGTCTGTAGAGAAAAATATCTCTACATTCTTTCAAGGCTAGCCTGTCTTCTACATTCTATCTCCATAATTAGATTACAAACTTATTCTGGGAAATAAGTTCTTGCAAAGAATAAGCATATAATATTTAAATATATCTCTATCTTGGCCATCTCAATAATTGAAATTATATATATATAATAATTATATATAATTATTAAATATATATATAAATTATATAAATATAAATTATATAAATTATTAAATATATATATATAAATTATATATATATAATTTCAATTATTGAGATGGCCAAGATAGATATATATATATCTTTACGATATATATATATATCTTAAACAAATTACAGCATACAAAAGTAGATTTTTATGTGCTTCCAAAACTATATTTTTACAGATTTAAAACTCTTAAAATCTATTTGCAGTGTTGTTTTTTTAACAACAAGCTCTCATCTTTCTAAAGTATTAATCCAACTTGTCCAAATTATCACAAATTCCAAATTAATGATGTTTTCCTATAGTATAAGAAAAACTTCAACTTAGAAAACTACATCTGTTATTCTTGTGTTATAAATCATATCTTCAGGCAAAATCCACTGATATTAGAAATTAAGTGAAAAATAATATATTAAATCAGTTTTAAAATAAGTTAGCATACAATATTTAACAACTTATATTAAAGTCTAACCAGCTGTAGACTTTATCATAATCAAATAATGCATAGGATTGCCTCAATTAAATACTGTATTTCCCCAAATTTCTCTATATACCATGCAGTTAAATGACAAAATAAATATATTTCAAAAAAATAACGAACCACTGAATACAGAAAACCACAAAAGTATAGGACACAGGGAAACCAGTAACTGCAACATGTGTGTTTAACAAAACAAACAAAAAAATTGTTCAGGCATAAAATTCAGATGACAAATAACTTGCAGAACTTTCATTATACAAATCCTACTTTATTGCTATGAACCTTTTAGGTAAACAACACACACACACACACACGTACTTAAATGATAGCTGAAGATTATCATATACCCTTATTTTTGTCACAAACATTATCTTCCCTGATGCTCTTTGAATCAATATGTTTCAAAGATTTTTTTAACACAACCAACAGTAAAAGAAATATTCATATTGCAACCCAATACAAAGATATATTCATGGAATAAAAGTTTTACATAATATGTACCTTACTAATCGTGGTGCACGCTAACATTTTTTAATCCTTGTTTTTTATTTTTATTGTTGACTCCATTGCAGATGTCCCTATTTACTCCCCTTTGCTCCCCTCCACCCAGCTCCTGCCTCCCCTCCCCTCTGGCCATCACCACACTGTTGTCTGTGTCTATGGGTTATACATATATGTTCTTTGGCCCCTTCACCTTCTTTCATCCAGTCCCTCCCCCTCCCCCCCGACAGCTGTCAGTTTGTTCCATGTATCCATGCGTCTGTTTCTATTTTGATAAATGCTGGTTTCATTCTACCAGATTAAAACTCAAGAGTTTGGAAAAATACTGCTTTTACTCACCTATTATTTTTAATAATGTGATCCTAGATTGCTTTTCAGAAACTGAATATGATTCTCCCTAGAACCAGAGAAACGTGTAAGTGATCCTCATGGACAGTATCCATACCACTTCCCATTGATGGAAAAGAATAGACCATCCTATGGGAAGTGGGAAGAGCAAAGAAAAGGCAGACAGAACCATCCTGCTGACATTCAACCAGGGTCCTCCAAAACTATGTGGTGTAGAGGATAGAACACTGAATTTAGAACCAAGAGTTGGTCATGACACTCTGTAGAGATTTAATTTTCTCATCGGTAATGAATTACATGGGGCAGGGGCTCAGTCTCTTGTCCACTATTCTGCTCCCCAAGTCTGGCACAGTGGTTGACGTGAGCGGAGGAATAAATACCTTGTCAATATGGTTGTAAGTGGGATATCATCCAAATGCATGACTTTGTTTTAAAATTCAGTCTGTTTAATTGGAGACCCAATATGCTGGCAGCTTCATATTACCCTGTGATTAAGTGCTTTTCTCTTTTTTTTCCAAGAGAGAAAACGGGAGGGGGGATCTTTCTGTAATTTTCATTTCCAACAGCTAGTCCTTATGAAAATAAAGAGTGTATGTACCATTCTCTCCACGTGCAGGATATATGCAAAACTGGTGCCCTTTAAAACCACAAATGTAAAATTTAAGCTACTCCTTCATGCATGTAATCCATTTGACTCTTGGTTTCATCAACTGAGATGATTAAAGAGGGTCACAGAAAAAAATTACAAGTCACAGTACTCAATTGTTCAGCTTAACATCAATACTGGTAAATGTTTTGATCAATAAGGAAACATTTATTTTAGTTGATTCTCAATCATATTGGTTTATCCCTGTTACTTATAACCTCATATTGCCCAAATAAATGAACTAGTCATTTATTACATGAGTCACTAATTCCTGAGCAGTTCTTTCAGGTATTGCATCATGCCAGCCTCTGTGAGGAATACAAAAGATTCCAGTCCTTGCAATCTTAGCATGATTTATCATTAAAATGTCCACTAACTATGGAAAATATTACCTGATTAAGTATAATGTAGAGGACAGTCCTTAAGAGATTTGGAAAAAGAAAGAAAGAAAGAAAGAGAGAAAGAAAGAAAGAAAGAAACTTATCACCTAAAATTCTAGATTTCAAGGATGGCAAATGATGAGCCATTTTCCTCAACCGTGGTACCTATGTCAGGCCAGTTACTGACCTTGGAATTCTTGCCCTGTGAACATAGACATGACCTTAAGATTCTTCTCACACATCCCTCTAGGAAGCCATAATCAAATGTAATGAAATTTATTTTTCATCTCTGGGCTCAAGCCTCTTACATGATTGGAGAAAAGTCTCTGTTTACATTAACTATCCCATGAGTCCAGCACATACCAAAAAGAACACCTTCAACTCCAAAATCCATGAAGGAAGAGGTACTTATTTTTCTGTGTGGTCTAACAAATTATACCACTTAACTTTAGGTCTTAAATTACTATTGTCCAATGGTGACTGTATCTACAAGTCCAATAAAGTGAAATGCTTTATAATAACAAAGGCTCATGCTGTAACATATCACATACATGAAATTATGAAAATTAATATATGTTCACTGTAACAATGTAAAAATTGGAAGTTTACTAGGTCCTCTAACAGTGCATTCTGAGGTAGCCATGATTAAGTTTGGCAAATGTCCTTCCAAACTTTCTTTATATTTATACAATAAAACAAATGTGTGTGTACTCATGTATGAGCTACACTCCTTACCAAAATATTTCTAGCAAATTTTACATTTATAAATGAAACACTGTATTTAAATAATAGGTGACTGGTGATGCAAAGTTGATTGCCATTTTATTTTGTTTTAATGCCATTTTATTTTGCATCTAATGCAGCTCAGTATCAAAATAAAACATGGGAGTCCTAGCTGGTTTGGCTCAGTGGATAGAGCTTTGGTCTGCAGACTGAAGGGTCCCTGGTTCAATTCCAGCCAAGTGCACATGCCCAGGTTGCAAGCTTGATCTCCGGTAGGGGGCGTGCAGGAGGCAGCTGATCAATGATTCACTATCATCATTGATGTTTCTATCTCTCTCTCTCCCTTTCCTTTCCTCTCTGAAATCAATAAAAATATATTTAAAAATAAATAAAATAAAACATGGGGAAGATGCAGTATCCTAGTACTTTTTCACCATGAATTGTTATAATGAAAGATTCACCCCAAATGTTGTTGAAGCCCAAGAAATAAGCCTTTCTACTGAAAAAAAAAAAAAAAAAATCCTGAACGTATGGTGGTACTTTCATATATTGAAAAAAAAAAATCTAATTTCTTGTTATACGAGAAGTATGAGAAATGAGCTCTGAAAGGAACATTCATTGATATTCATATCCATAGATATTCATGAAAACACACCTGTCCTGAAACGGGTTGTTTATCAGAGAAAAAAGCTTGCAGAATGCTTAGTAGAAGGCTTTCATTTTACATATAAGGAAGTGGACTCAAAGGTCACAAAGCCAAGAACAGAAGCAGCAACACAGCCACAACCACCGTCTCTTGCTGTTCTTGCTATACAAAACCACACTGCCTCGGCGTTCTTCAACACGAGGAATTATATTATATAGATAAGGTTTTTATACGGTTTAAAAACAATTACCTCTGTTCCCAAATCTTCCTTCTCGGCACCCTGGGTGCCTCTATTCCAGACCCCCAGCTACCCTCAAGCCTGTGATCCTTTCTCCCCATTCCAGGCTGGATTCTACAGTCTCTTCCATGGGCAACCCTCCTGCTGGCTCATCTGCTCTCTTCCCAGAACCCTGCTCTTCATATTCATGGTTAGCAAAGTCCTGAGGCTCAAAAAAGTGAAATGTGAACACACTCATCTCCAGACTGGAGACACAGTTGTCAGAGAGATAAATCATAAGCACGGGTGCATTGAGGAAAACCAAAGGTACATTTCCATTATTAATGGTAACGAGGCCCAGGATAAAGAATTTGATCCCCACAAAACTTTACATACGCCATGTCTTAAATTCAGTACTATATTCACAGAGACAGATTCATGTTCCAAATAACAAATACATAGCAGCCCTATAATTTGGGCTAAAATTTTACCTTCGAAAGCTTGTATAATAGTGATGTTCTTACTTCTGAAAGTAGACACTCTTTTTCACAATGATATTATCTCAAAAACTCAAATATAAAACAGATAAAAATACAACAGATGAGTTGAAGCAGCAGCATTGTAAAAAATATTTATATTTACTTTACTTTTCCCTCACCCCTTTTCCCAACCCACACCCAGCTTCGGGCACCCCTGTGGAACCCCAGAACTCCGCTGAACCAGTTTGAACTACTTTATATATTTCAACACATTCATCTTTATTTTATTTATTTATTTAACCCTCACCCAAGGATATTTTCCCATTGATTTTTAGAGAGAGTGGAAGAGAGAGGGAAAGACAGAGAGAGACATCGATGTGAGAGAAACACATCAATTGGTTGCCTCCTGAACAAGCACTGACCGCCCAGGGCCCAGGGCCAGGGAGGAGCCTGCAACTGAGGTACATGCCTTGACCAGAAGCAAACCCCGTACCCTTTGGTCTGCAGGCCAATGCTCCATTCACTGAGCCATACTGACTAGGGTGACACATTCATCTTTATTAAATAATGTCAAAACCTATATAAAGACAGGGTCAATGACATTTTACACATTGCAAATCAGTAATAATGGGTAGTTTTCTATTTATCTCTTGCTTGCTAAAAACTTCACACTCTTATTTTTCTCTAACAATAACTATAAAAATTGTAGACCAAAAAAAGAGAGAGTTCTATGAAAAGTAACCTCACAAGGTGAAATGATCATAAATGCCTAACTGGGCAGGTCATGGTGGGTAGTCACACCCCAGGCATATAACTTCTTCAGTAAAAAGTTAATCTTTGCCTTAAGTAAACCCTTCCTTTGTTTCTGTGCATCTAGATCAGTGGTTCTCAACCTTACTAAAGCCGTGACCCTTTAATACAGTTCCTTATGTTGTGGTGACCCCCAATTTCATTGTTACAAATTGAACATAATTAAAGCATAGTGATTAATCACAAAACAATATGTAATTATATATGTGTTTTCCGATGGTCTTAGGTGACCCCTGTGAAAGGGTCGTTCGACCCCCAAAGGGGTCTTGACCCACAGGTTGAAAACCACTGATCTAGATCAAAACATCTTTGAAATAGTCCATACCACCCTCAAGAGAGTACCTAATCTTGTTAACTGTCCTGTAATCCAATCCCTGCCTTGCTTTCTCCCACCTTCATGTGATGTCCCGTGAGCCCACTCAATTCCAAATGCATGAAAGAAATTGCAAAACTGTTATTCTCCAGAGCACTGGCCAACTTGCTCCTGGGATATATTGTCAATTTGACTCAAATAAACTCTTATATAACAATTCTCCACAGGTTTGGACATTCTTTACATCGACAATTTCTGTATTGGATAATGTATATCCTTTTCTCCCATTTCTAAATCATTAAAAATTTTTTATTGATTGATTGATTTGAGAGGGGGGGGAAGGGTGGGGAGAAATACCAACTCTTGTATGTGCCCTGATACAGGTTCAAACCTCACAATCTTGGTGTATCAGGACAACGTACTAATTAATTGAGCTATGGGGCCAGGGCTCATTTTTAAATCATTGTTATTTTTCAATTACAGTTGACATACATTATTATCTTAGCTTCAGGTGTACACCCCAGTGATTAGACATTACATAACTTAAGTGATCATCCCAACAAACTCTAACCCATCTGTCACCATACATAGATATTAGAATATTATTGACTATATTCCCTATGATATACTCTATATCCCCATGACTATTCTGTAAAACCCAATTAGTACTTCTTAGTCCCTTCACCTTTTTCACCCTTCCCGCCTAACCCCCCTCCTATCAGGCAACTGTAATAACGTTCTCTTTATCTATGAGTCTCTTTCTGCTGTTGTTTTTTCACTTTGTATTTTAGATTCACTTGTTGATAGACATGCACTTATTGCCATTTTATTGTTCATATTTTTTACCTTTTTTTTCTTCTTCTTCTTAAAGAAAACCCTTTAACATTTGCTGTAACACTGGTTTGGTAGTGATGAACTCCTTTAGCTTTTTCTTGCTTGTGAAGCTCTTTATCTGACCCTCAGTTCTAAATGAGAGCTTTACTAGGTAGAATAATCTTGGTTTTAGGTCCTTGCTTTTCGTCCCTTTGAATATTTCTTGCCACTCTCTTCTGGCCTGCAAAGCTTCTATTGAGAAATCAGCTGACAATCTTATGGAGGCTCCCTTGTAAGTAACTAACTGCTTTTCTCTTGTGCTTTTAAGATTCTCTGTCTTTAACCCTTTGCATTTTAATTATGATGTGTCTTGGTGTGGGCCTCTTTGGGTTCATCTATGTGCTTCTTGGGTTTGTATATCTATTTTCTTCACCAGGTTAGGGAAGTTTTCTGTCATTATTTTTTCAAATAGGTTTTCAATTTCTTATTCTCTCTCTTCTTCAGGCACCATCAGAGGCTCCTTACACTGTCTTATTTATTTACATTTTTTCCTTTGTGCTGTTTTGATTGGGTGTTGATTGCTACTACTGCCAGGGCTGAGGCCATTTAGTGAGGGGTATGGTGCACACTGAGGCCAGAGGCTGCTTGTTTAAGAGATTTTAATTTACTTTAAATATATTTTTATTGATTTCAGGGAGGAAAGGAGAGGGAGAGAGAGATAGAAACATCAGTGATGAGAGAGAATCATTGATCGGCTGCCTCCTGCACACCCCACACTGGGGATTACGACCACAACCCGGGTATATGCCCTGACTGGAAATCGAACCATGACCTCCTGGTTCATGGGTTGATGCTCAATCACTGAGCCACACCAGCTGGGCTTGTTTGAGAGATTTTAGAAAAATCTGAAGCATGAGCCAAGACAGGACATTCATACGGAAAAGCCACTGGAAACAGCTTAGGTGCACCTGAAAGTTTCGTGGGGCGATGCCTCAGAGAATCACCAAGACAGGGAAACAGTGTGAACCAAGTTGCTGGAGTCTCAGATAAGGCACCCACCTGCCCACTCTGTAGGGGGAGGGCTCATCAAAGGAGCAGTGGCTTCTGCTAGCACTTCTGTCTGGGAGAAAGCTGACCCCTCAGCTCTTGCGCTCATGCCAGACAATTCAGTTCCTCCCACATGCCCCAGCACTGGAGCTCAGAGGGAGTGAATCGAACTAAGTCCATTCTCGGGAACTTTAAGAGAAACTACCTGGGACTCCAGAAACCCCTCAGCCTCAATCCCCATTGAGGGGAAGCACTGGTGAGCTTAGGCTGGGGTGCCTGGTGTGGAGCTGGTGTACCCCTTGCTCCTCAGTGGGGAACCTCTGCAGCAGAGATATCCCTCCCAATTTTTATCCACCACATGTGGGTGTTGGACCAAGCCATTCCAGCTCGGCCCCTCCTACCAGTTTCAATGTGGCTTCTTCTTTAAATCCCTAAAGGTAGGACTTCCACTCAGGTTGATTTCAGGTGGTTCTGAATGATGGTTTTTCTGTAGTTTAATTGTAATTTTGATATGGATGTGGAAGGCGGTGAGTACCAGCTTCACCTACACCATCATTTTACTCCTTGATGTATACATTAAAAATGGTAATGTATAAATGTAATTTTCATAGAAATCAACAACGAGAAATGGAGAGTCACTGAACGATTCTGTGAGCGGAACAGTTGTAACACATGATTATAGTTTTGCCCTTTTAAACTCCAGGGAGAGTCCACCTCAACCATAGCAGAACAGCAAGTGTGTGTGTGGAACTAAACTGTGGAAGTCATAGCATCTCTCTTCAGTTCAGCCACCCGTTAGCTACAGGATCTTAGCAAGTCAGCCTCTGCCAATGGCAAGAGGTCAGTGCTATCTGACAGCTCACCAGTGCTTCCCCTCAGATCAGTAACATCAGATAAGAATAGGAGCAGAGGCCACTCCTGATGGAGGGCTTATCCTTACCAGGTGCCTCCTGAGCCGCAGAGCTGTTATTCCTCACAGGTCTCCTGAGATAGTATCCTCATTTCACAAATGAGCTACGTCAGGACCTTGCGCAAAATCCCCAGCTAGAATGCTATTCCAATTCAGGGCTGCTGAGCCCATGCTGTAACTACCACATTATACTGCCTCCCCCTAAATATGTTTGAAATAACTTACAAAAGCAGGAGTCTATATACAAGCTTAATCAATGTGTAAAAGACAATAGATCGCTGAAGAAGCTGGCAGCCATGTTTGATTCGCCCATATCTTTTGCCTCTCCACTCCCAGTGTAAACGTTAAATGGAGCCTAAGTTGCCACCCAGAAGAATTGTCTTGCATGTCTTAGGTCTCAAACTTTGGAAGGTTAAGATGGGGCAAAATGACCCTTGGACTGGGCCTACATAACCTTGTTTCCTGAAGAACTGGGAAGATAACATCAAAGCAGTTATTATGACCACTGACCCGAAGAAGGCTGGACTGAAAGTGTAACAAACCCACACGTGGTTGAGAATGAACATCCCTATGTTACGTTATCTGCACCATCGGAAATGCCTTCCTTCTAGTGACATCACTGCTGCCCTTCCCTTCCTCAGACTCAGTGCCTTGGTCTCCTATTCGAACATTATTTGTGCTTTTGCCTGAATTCATCATTCCGAATAGCTATTCTTATTGATCTCAATAAGTGTTTGTTGCCTCTCTTGGGCAACAAAGTATTTTTAGGTTAGCACCCAAAAGTGCTTACTCCTGCAGCTTTCCATCACCAATCTTATCAAACTCCTTTCGCCTCCCCATTTCCCTCTGCTAGTTATTCCCTTTCTATTCCTCTTATAGTTTTCCTTTAGTGCCCCTCTCCTGGATTAAATCATTTTAAGTTTTCATAAGACATATGATGAGACCACCAAAAATAGCGCCATTTTTTTAAGTGCCATGTAATTAAAAGACTTTATCTACCTGGATATTATATTTACATGGAATCAAATATGTAGTAAGAATGCAGGACATGTGAAATATTTCTTTTGGTTTCTCTTGACAACCCCTTTCTGGACTTAACTTTAGACGTTTTATAAAGATAAGATGACAGAAAGCCTAGTAAATGTTTAAGAGTCATCATGAAACCAAAAGTCATTTCTACTTTAGATTGTCAGCATATG